TTCACTACTTTTCCTTCTAAATGTAGAAAGCATATTATTCTGAAGGTGAAAGACTGGGTCTGAAATTCCCTGTTCTGCTCTTCCAGCACATGGTCCTGCAGGTAGAGTCCTACAGAAGGGCATTCACTGGGCTCTGTGATTTTAGGCCACAGTGCCCTCTTTGGGACAAAGTTGGCCTAACTGACTACCACCATTTGCTGCTGATGATAAAGGCACAATTGTAATATGATTTTGGGATATGGGCAATTAATAAATCAGTTACCCTAAGGATTAGGATGTAGATGAAACAAATCATTTTCTTAATATATTGGTTCATTAAAACATCTTCCCTGATGGTCTCCTTGTGAATAGCTCTATGGCTCTCTTAATCATACCAGAGCAAACTTCATAAGTAACTTCAAATTCACTGTTCTCCTTTAAACTTGATAATTCTCTTTAACCTTCAGATAGAAATAACTATTCCTTAGCATATCACACACATCCAAGCATCTCACTGCTTATTCATAGAACCATCTTCCTTCATCCTTCAATCTTACTATTTTCAGGGTTTGGAGGAGCCAATCTCTTTCTTCACCTTCCCTGTGGCTTAATAATTCTAATATTACAGCTATCCCACTGTATTTCCCATTCTGTTGGCTGGGAATGCCCTTCTCATTTCTTCATCTGGCTATTTCCTGTGGTTCCTGTTGGACTGGGCTCAAAGGTCAGTTCTGAGGAGACGTCTTCCTCATGTCCACTACGTGGGACCCTTCTTCTCTCCTCCATCAGCACGCATCCATAACATGCATATAATACAATACTTGCTTGACTCTATTTTAACTCTTCACTTCTTCCTGTATCTCACTATGAAGACTTGATTGTGAAGACTGTAGTGTACTTCTCTACCCATGTTCTTAGCTCACTGGCAAATAGCGAAATCTCCTCAAAAACAAAAACAAAAAAACCCCAGTTAGCCAATGGAAGAATGAACATTGGAACTGCTCATGGGTCACAGTGGTTCCTACATAATTTTTAAAATTTTTCTTAATTTCCTTCATCTTTAAAAAGAAGATCATGAGGTGGATTGAATGAAAAAGATTTTGAAAAGCAACCAGCACTGTGCTAGACATGTGATAATCTATATTTGGTGTTTTTCTTTTTCTTTTCTCTAACCCCTATCTAGGTTCATGTTCCCCTCACCTGGTGGCTCATGCCTTACCGATACTCAAGTCTCCTCCCAGTCAGTGCCTCCCTGTTTAATGTGTAATGAGACATCCTAGTCAATCAGTGTTTATGCTGATCACACAGTGTGCACTGTGACTTTTCTACCAACACCCACCATCATTCATCACATATTCACTGCCTGCCTTTAGACACACATTCAACATCTCTCTCACCTTTCACTTAGTCATCTATTAGTCACAGAGAAGTTTAGCTCTATGAATTCGTAACCAAAGTGTGATCCGTTTTCTAAGAAAAAGGTTGATCTTTTAAGTCAACAGCCACAAATATAGGTTGTGGTGTTCAATTTTCATTTGTTCTACTTTAGTTCAGCTTGTTTTATCTACATCATATATTGACCCTCCTACACTGCCCTTCGTATGCACAATTCAACTTGCATATGAACCAATGAGCAACCACTGTCTGGTGTCTAAGCACATGCTGGCTGTCTGCCAACACAATAATAACCAGAGAATCATTTTAACCCATAAAACAGAATTAATTTGTAAAATAGTTTGGATAATTTTCTTGCTTTTATTGTATTATTTTAAAGAATGGCATGGTTTCTTACAATCTTTTGTGTATTTGCTATTTTTATCCACAGTAGTTCTGGCAAAGTCACTGCCAATTAAATTACTACTTCCCAATATAAACTCAGGCTACTATTATTTCAAGTAAGCTGAAACAACATTTAAAGAAGATGTCTTAGCAAATTAACTTCATTATCTGTATTTAACATTTAGATTATGTTTAAAATATGGTAGTAGTTATTTAGATCTTGTAACATCCATGAAAAAAAAATGATCACATTGTATTTTGTAATAATAAGTTGGCTTTCTAGGAATGGGATTTTTTTCCAGGAGCATGGAAATTTGATATTTTGGGATCATTTGGTTGGCTTTTATGATTGTTTTGAGAAATTTATTATAACTGAAAGCAAATAATTTTTAATACTGATTTCAATATTGGCAACTCTACTTTACTCCAGATGAGTGATCTTTTTGTTTTTACTGAATTTATAATAAGAAATACTTTTGAAAGAAAATATAAGCTGTTATTCAACCAATGGTTATAATGAAAGGCAATCTCTTTATCAATTGGCTTTGTCTTGCAAATTTCCAGAAGTTTTAACATTTTTCTGAAGTATTCTATGTAACATTCATACTATAAAAGGCAAAAATATAGATTAATGCTTAACTTTTGAGGGTCTCAAAGTTATTAATTTATAAATTCAATTTAATTAGATATTTCTAATAAAATCCTTCAAGTTTATATTTTTAGCTTAAGTATCAAAAATGTCCAGATAATTAAAAAAAAAGAAATTAGCAGTATTGTACCTAGAAAATACCAAAACATACTGAAAAATAGAGTGGGATAGCTGTAATATTAGAATTATCAGCATACATAATACTATATTATTGTAAGAGAATAGAAGTCTATTTAAATATTTATGATAATTTATAAAATTTATTTAATGATTTATTTTTTATTTAGTCAACTTATATTTACTAAGTATTAGATTCTGTATAATAGATGGGTAACATCAAGTAATCAAGTCATACTAGGTTATTAAACCTTAAAACTTGTTCAATAAATCAATTGTTATTATTTATAGTTAAGCAATCTTGCCAAGAACAGTTGGTGGAAAGAAAAATTGAAGTTCTTATTGAGAAGAAAATTTGGAAAAACTCTGTAAAAATGATTCGACATATCCTTTGTTATCCCCCTTTGAAGAGGGAATTTCAGCTTTTGTGTCTATATGAATGTGTGTGTAGAATGTGTATGTAAGATATAAGCTAATGTTCATATAGCATTATTTATAATTGTAAAAACTGGAGTCCATCTTTTTGGTAATAAGAAAATGATAAAAACACATGTTGCAAATATATGAATATTATACAGATTTTTTGGAAGAATGAAATCTGACATTGAATGATGTTTATTATAATGTGAGAAAATCAAGTTACAGATGAGTATGACAGAAAAAAATATTCAATGACGAAATCATGGTGCCAAACTCATATTGTAATAGCTCTATTTTGGTTAACTCTGGGAAAAGCTACTCTGCTGTCATGGCTGTAAATACTGGCTGTGTTGGATATTAGTGTTGGATTGCAATTGTCAATTTTGTATTATTATCATCATTCACTTTTAAGGTTTTCAAAGTCCCACCAAAGTCAGCTCCCAGTCATTGTATCCCTGTTAAATACATAATAAAGAAGTCCTTGTGAATCAATGTTTATTTTGGCCATTTTTCAGATTCACATTCCAGGCTCACTTCTCTATAGCACTTCTAGGATTTATTTTATCCATCTACACCATCATTGTTTCCAAAAAGCATGAGACCATAACTTCATTTTGGTACTCTTTATGCAAAACATCCATTTTGCCTGAATTTTCATTGTGGGTTATATACTTGCATATTCTTGTTAAGGGTGACATTTGCACAAACTTTTGGAAGATCACCCCAGAGTCTGCTATCTAGAGGGACACTGTTGAACTAAAGACACTTGGTTTCAGGTGCTAGAGAGAATTGAACTATATTCTTCTAAAATTAATAAGTGCATACTAAGTCCTAGACATTCTAATAACACTGTAGATAGAGAAATGAGAAGAGTGTTGTTTTTGATTTCAAGGAGTTCACAGTCTAGCAAATAAAGAAGAAGTAGTGTGTTTATTATTCAAGGGAGCAAGGAAGGAGAGCTAGATAAACAAGCAGGTTGTGGTTGTGGGAGGAAGATCCAGCAATGCTCCTGAGAATTGGCTGTGCTTGAGGTGTGTTGAGGGGTAAGAGAAAGCTAAACAGATTAGGGGAGTGGAGAGGGTTCTAGATTAAGGAACTAGGGTGGTGCAGGGTGACAGAAGTATGAGGAAGCACGCCTTGTTCCAGAAATTATGAATAGGCCATACACCTCTCTTAAAGTAATAAAAAAAGTCAAGGGCATTCATTGTGTAAATTTAATCAACACAGAGAATGACTAGTCAGCATCACTTTAGATAATTCAACCCAGACCAGAGCTCTCTTTAGTGGTGATCTGAAAGATCTCCTTGTCTTGGGGTGTTGACTTAACAGATCCTGACTGCTACAGAAGCAAATACCAGGCTCTCAGCTTCAGTGATCCTTTCGTGAGGGTGTGTCTGTTGTGGTGATCAAAGCACACCAGCTGTCCCATAAAATAGGATCTGGCTACTGCTTGGCACAAAAGTTTCCCCAGTTAAATCCAACCCCCTAATGAGATTCAAGATCCTCTTTCCCTCATGTATCCTTCCAGAATAACAGTAACAGATTTTGGTGAGTAAGAATAGTCTTTGGAGTTAGATAGCCCTGAATTTGATTTTAATTCTGTTACTCACTTAAACTCTAACGTAAAAGTAACAATTTTTAGCTTGAGCATCTTCATCTGTGACATGGGTATAAATCATACCTTATTAGTGTTGTTTTGAGGATTCAATAGGATAATTTATGATAATTCAATAGAATAATTTATAATTATATGGCAATTTTATAATTATAGATTCAGATATTTTTATTATATTTAATTTGAATACTTAATAGTTTTTAGATATGTTTTTGACCTTTGAAATCTTTGTAATTCCTGTCAGACAAAATCTACTTGACCAAGGCCAGATGTCACCATCTTCAAAGCAACTTTCTGAATTCCCCTAACTGAAATTAATCATTCTTTCCTTATTTCCATAGAAATTGGTGCAGTTAGTACAGAAATAATAATAATTTTGTTGAATTTAAATCCAGTGGGAAGAGACAGTATAAGAGACTATAATTACAATGTCTAGAATAATTTCTGATGTTTATTTATATGATTTGTTATTTTATAATGAGCATTCAAAAATAAAACAATGATTCTATTAAGAATTCTCCCATTAATAAACAAATGGATTATTGTGATTTCAATTTACAAATGAATTCATGCCCCTGTATCATACACACAATGAGAAGAATGACACTCATCTAGTGACACAATGGGAAAAGCTTTCCCCAATGGGTATCTGTGTTTATGCATGGAATACGATGTGTACCCAGGATAAAATGAAGCATTTTTTTCTCTCTTAGCACACATTTTTTTAATTGAAGAATTATATAAAACATTATTACATTTAGTAAGACATTGCAATCAGAAATATTTAAACAGGGAATTTTTAAAAGAATAATTCCCTTTGAACAAGTTAATAAATATGCTCATATTCTAAGTGATTTCCTTTCCCCTCACCTAAGATTTTTCCAAGAGAGCCCATTCATTCATTTAGTAATGCCATCTACTTAAGCAATTCCATAGGTCAGGCAATATGGCTCAAACAATATGCTGTTATATTTATTTATCAAATCTCATTTCCTAGACTTCTGCATTCATTTTCAAACCTTAACATAAATGCTATATTAAGTTTACTTCTTAGACAAAACAATATTCTAACTCTTAAGCAGTGAAGAGGGATCTTGGTTTATGCTTTCTATTTTGTTTGGGATGATATTTAGAAATGCCTCACTTTCAGAATCTGGAAATACATGTGAACAACCCTCACCATCGGGGCATGATGGTTAAGTTGCCTCTCACTGTATGCTGAGAGAGAAAATGGAAAGCTTCTGTTCTTGTTTCCACAGAGAATGTGGGGGAAGGCATCCATAAGAGGTGGATTTCCTCTTTTAGAGGTAATTGTAAGTTTTTGCATATTGATAAAGAGAGAGGAAAAACTCACAGAAAAAATCTCTTACCCTTCTCACAAGTAGTTTCATCTCCTTTCAAACTTTTAATCTGTTGATCAATGCTTATTTCTATTTTATTTCTCAAATTTCATAGTGTTTTCAGTTTTGACTTCACTAACACTTTACATTCAATTATCCACTAGTCATTTTATAATTCTGAGAATTGTTGGTTTAATAGAATGCACATTTCAAGAGTAATGTCCATGTCAGGACAGAATTGAGCACATGAAGAGGCTATGGGGTGGGCCATTGATTGATTGTTAAAATGACCACAAACCAGTGATGCTTGGCTACACCCTGAATTTCATCAAATTATAGATTAATAAAGTGTAGCAGAATCTTTGTTATAAATAACTAAATTGAGGAATGACTGTAACAGTTGGCAGTACCCACAATTTGAAAACTATTACAAAATGTGCAATGCTTTAGTTATTTTGCACTTAAACTTCATAAAACCTATTTCTTTTTTTTTTTTTTTTTAATATTTATTTAATTTTAGTTTTCGGCGGACACAACATCTTTGTTTGTATGTGGTGCTGAGGATCGAACCCGGGCCGCACGCATGCCAGGCGAGCACAATACCGCTTGAGCCACATCCCCAGCCCAATAAAACCTATTTCTTTAAGAGATACTTTTTGTTCCAAATAGCAATAGCAAAGTCCATGCAATAGACAAAATTTAATCCTCTTCATTCTGATGAAGTTATAGTATTGAAACACTGGCTAGGGTATATGAGCAATGGGTTCAAGGTTTTGTTCTACAACTAGCTCCTTGTGGTCATTTAATCCACTTTTAGATTCGTTGACTATAAAATTGGTGAAATGGGTAAACGGTTATGTAAGATGACTCAATTTCTATAATAGTTTTATTCATAAAGGAACAAGCAAACAAACAAACAAAAAAACAACAAGAAGTCCAATTACTTCCTTATGAAAGGAAAAAGCCCTGAAAATGTTTATTTCATTTCATTTACATTATCTTTCTAGTAACATTATAGTTACTGCTATATAGTTTACATATTTTACAGAATTAAATAAAACTACTCTGCAGAATTTCTTTTTCTTAAGCCAACTTTTATGTCTACTGAAGCCATCTGTGCACGTTTCCATTTCATTCATTCAGTGTGAGTAGTAATATTAGAAACCCAGCTTGGTAATGGATCAAATAGGTTACTAGTTATTCTTGGTAGTAACTCAAAGTCATATTTCAGAGTTTTATTTTAAGTATAGAAATGAATTAAAGGCTCTATGAAGATAGGAATCATGTTTGTCTTTTTTACCTCTGTGCTCACAGACCCAAGACCAGTGTTCAACACCTAGTAGCTGTTGAGTATATTAAAAAAAGATAGGTGTGCTTTAGAAAACATCTGGCTGCCAAATGAAAGCCCTATGATCCAGGTCAATAAAACTGTTTAAACTATGTTTCACATCATTTTAGACAAAATTAGAAAAAAGTAGTGAAAAAATTCCCTTTACTGGGGAAAATGCTAAGATTTCTCTTAAGATCTGTTTTTATTGTAGATTTGTCATAAATTTTCTTTTGCAATTCTAAATTAATATTACAGTAATGATACAAATTGATAAAGTGCAATAAAATTGATATGTGTTTATATACTTCCTTTTGAGGAGCCACTTCCTGTTGGCAAACTCTTCTTAAAAAATTAAGCATGCCCTATCACTTAATATTGCTTATCTTGAGAAATCGTTTGAAAAAACAAATGACTTCAGATATCTATTAACATATGTTCCATATTCCTTTACCATTTCCTTTCAGAAATGTACTTTAAAAAATTTTTTTAAAGAAATATTTCTCTAAAGAAAATACTGCCAGATAAAACTTCTTTGAAAATCCCAAGAACGTGGACATCTTGATTTACGTGACTTTCTGTAGGCCTCAAGACCCATTGGATTTGTGAAATGAGTTATGCACTTTAGACAATATCAAAGGATACAAAATATTTTCTTTAAGTTTTTTGGCATATATTGAAAATCAGAAAAAACTAAGAAAGACTTATCTAAAGTGCTTAGCCATATTTATCCCTTGAAAGATCCAATCAAAGCCACATTAAACTTAGAACATCTGAATGTTTGTTGACTATTAATATTTTAAATATAGTACATTATACATCTTTGATGAATGTTTTGGTGACTATTAGGCTGCAAGATCAGCATCTAGTATACCGGTCATAAATCACTTACTGTTGGGAGTAATGTATGTTACTATATCTTGTCACTCTGTGTCGAGACGTCATTGGGGATGTAGAGCCAATGGTTTGGCTTATGTGAATGTCTGGACTCACCATTTGTGTCACTTGAATTTCTGGCCCTACCAAAATACCGCCACTCATCACAGGTCCCGTACAACCATCAGTCATGCTACCATTGTTCATGTCAGGCATACCAGGGCTAGACAGGACTCTCTCAGCATAGTATACATTGTGTGTGTTGGCTAACTCGGCAGGCACACAAATATTCCCTTGAACATCATAGACAGGTGCCATCACTGTTTCTGTTACTACAACATTGGGAGGAAGCTGAGGATCAAAAACAATTGTTGTGGGTTGTACACATGGGTCAGCAGTAGTGTAAGTCTCAGTCACTATGATATCCCCATGAATCACGGGTTCAGAGGCTGCCATTTCTGCTTGGAATTCAGCTTCTGAGAGAGTCATTCCTGAAGATTCATTAACAAAGTAATTAGGTCCCAGCAAAGGGAGGTCAGTACTGATAGGGATACAGGCCTGGTGTGAAGGAAATGGCTCAATTTCGGTGTCTAAGCAGATTTCAGCAAGAGTCCTAAATTTTGGATCTAAAGTTTCCATGTAGCTTTCATCCAGGTCATCCACGATCCAACTGCAGCAACCAATGGAGCCCACAGGTGACCCAACTCCCTCATGGTCGTAGATAAGCAAGCAGTCATTGGCTGGTCGGCCTTCATCCTCATCTGCATATGCGTATGCTTTCTAAAATTAGAAGAAAAATGGAGAAGTAGAAGTTTCCTTTCCCTTAAAATAATCAGAGAAGCCCTGCCAGTGGCCCATGCTTATAATCTCAGAGGCTGGGGAGGCTGAGGCAGGAAGATTGTGAATTGAAAGCCAGCCTCAGCAAAAGCGAGGTGCTAAGCAACTCAGTGAGACCCTGTCTCTAAATAAAATGTAAAATAGGCCTGGGGATGTGGCTCAGCGGTCCAGTGTCCCTGAGTTAAATCCCTGGTACCTGCCCCCCCAAAATAATAATCAAAGAAGACTAATAGCAATGCTTCAGAAACTTCTAAGGTTAAATCAAGGAATAAATTGAGGAAAAAGACTAGCACTTAATGTATTACTAAATAACTGGAATTTTTATAAAGGAGATCAGATTGCATTAATGATGCATTCAATTTGAGGATTAAACATGAATTTCTCTTATTTGAAAACTAATAAATGATAATGACTATATTTTGTTCAGATTTGAATCAAAATTAATATTTAAATCTATTGTAGTTATAGATTTTTGTTTCTGGAATAAAATTGTATTTAGTTATATTCAAACTATTTATATAAAGAGAGATATTTGATCAATTTGAAATGAAAGCATTTATAAAGATTTAAATCTTTCTGAGCTACAGGGACTTGTGTTAGAATGTTCATGAAATTTTATGTGGCTTGAGCTGAGAGAGCTGGAATGATCTCTGGAGTTAGTTCCATAAAAAGGAAGGCACTAAAAGATCATCTACCATGATTTTCAAATTATTCTTTAAAGAAAGACATTTAAAATGAAACCTTAGGTTGGAGCACAATATGTAGAATAGAACAGATGCAAGTAGAATCTCCCTGTTTGGAGGGGGTGCAGACCTGCCAGCTCTCTTCCTTCTTCCCTCACCTATAATGGTCTTTGTTTTTTTTTTAATTTTTTATTGTGGGTTGTTCAAAACATTACAAATTTCTTGACATATCATATTCCACACTTTGATTCAAGTGGGTTATGAACTCCCACCTTCACCCCATACACAGATTGCAGAATCACATCAGTTACACATCCATTGATTTACAAATTGCCATACTAGTGTCTGTTGTGCTCCACTGCCTTTCCCATCCTCCCCCCTCCCCCCTCCCCACCTCTCCCCTCCCCTCCCCTCCTCTCTCTCTACCTCCTCCACTGTATAACCCTGAGGGTCTCCTTCCATTACCATGCAATTTCCCTTCTCTCTCCCTTTCCCTCCCACCTCTCATCCCTGTTAAATGTTAATCTTCTTCTCCTGCTCTTCTGTCCCTACTCTGTTCTTAGTTACTCTCCTTATATCAAAGAAGATATTTGGCATTTGTTTTTTAGGGATTGGCTAGCTTCACTTAGCATAATCTGCTCTAATGCCATCCATTTCCCTGTAAATTCTATGATTTTGTCATTTTTTAATGCAGAGTAATACTCCATTGTGTATAAATGCCACATTTTTTTTATCCATTCGTCTATTGAAGGGCATCTAGGTTGGTTCCACAGTCTTGCTATTGTGAACTGTGCTGCTATGAACATCTTGTTATTTAAAATCAGAAAAAAAAACCCTGAAAAAGCCTTATCTAAAGTGCTTAGCCATAAATCTTATGGAATCTTACAGGTCCTGCAAAACAGCATTTGAAATCCCTTGATGTAGTTCAACCTTCTGTTTACCTTATGAAGTAACTACAAGCCCAGAGAAGGTAAGAGTTGAATTGCTTGCCCAAGACCCAAACAGTCTTAAAACAAAACTTCAAATCCAATTTTCCTTTTTACACAATATGGTGTTTCCCCTCTGATCCAGCCTCTAAATTCTTCCATTAGAAATGAATGATTTTTAGGCTTTGAACCAACAATTCATGAGTTTAGAATAACCTTAAGCCTTTGTTATGTAATATTTGGAATGACTCCTCAGTAAGAGGGTAATCTCCTCTTGCATGCATGGAACACAAATTAGTTCCCCCAGGGTAGATGTTGGAGATGTGTAAAGTGGCAGGAAGGAAGCATTAGTAAAATTTTGCAGAGGCTCACCTTGGGGTAGGGAGAGCTTGAGTCTCCTGAAATCACCTCAAAAATTTAGCACCATTTTTAAAGTGTCGAGCTAAATGTTTTGGGAAGGATGATCTCAGTTCCCACAAAGGAGAACACATTTTTATTTTGTCTCATAAAGCACTGATGATAACCAAAGGAAAAGTGCCAGATGCAACCTGCCATTAATGGTAGAGCACCTTTGATACTGGTGGGGGTTTTATGAATAATTTAAAAAATATTTCTTCTATGGTATATTATTTGTGCCTGTTCTTTGAATGAATTGATTAATGGTATCTACCATTCATTTCAATGAATTTATGGTCTGAAACAGTATTTTTACCTGTTTAAATAAGAGACAGGGTTTGACAAAGTTGCTGAGGCTGGCCTGGAACTTGAGATCCTCTAGCCCTAGCATCCTGCATCTCAAAGATGGCATGTGTACACCTTGAGCCCAGCTTATTGCAAAAGTATTTTTAACTACTAATTTTAATACATAGTTTACATCTGCAACAACATCTTTAGCATCTTTTTTTGTGTGTGAATAGCAGTGGTGAAATTCGTGACGCAGTAATGGTGAATAAAATAGGTTTATTGAAATATGAGATCCAATGGATTGCTAATTAATCAAATTAAACTTTCTAAATAGGGTACACAAGATTTATTTACCCATTATGTCATTGTATTAGGCCAGATCAGTGACTATGGACCTTTCTTCTTTGGGATGCTCATTAATAGACCTATGACCCTTTTTCTTAGTGAGAATGAGGTTAATGGAGGACAGGATGGGTGACCTCGCTTCTAGGTCCTCATTTGTAACCCATTTGTGGTGATGCTATATGTGTACCTGAGCTTTCACCCCCTTCACTTCCCAGTCTTGACTTTTAATTTATTCTTCTCCATTTCTGGAGAACAGATGGGACATCATAAAGAGAGGACATGAATGCACATTTTTTTTTCTTTTTTGGATCAGCATTCTTCTTGTTTTTTGATGCTATGGGAAACAAAGAAGAAATCAGAAGGAAACAGAAGACAGGAAAATGGAGAATGAAGAGGAATGCTAGCTTTTTTTTCTTTTGTTTTACTTTCTTTCTTTTTTTTACAGTATTAATATGTGTTATGGCAACTGAATATGTAATACTGGTGTGAATTGGCTTTATGTATGTTAAGGAGAAGTAAAATGTTTTTTTTATTAAGATTAGGATAGGGCTAAGAATATTTGAACTTATTTCTGGAGGGGCCCACTGCCCTTGTTTTCCTGTTGTGTGTAACTGCGTAAGAGAATTACCTCTGAGAAGTAGCTGTCCAGGAAGGCCATGTTCATGCCGGTGTCTGCATACTCCCGCAGAGTTCCTATGGTAGAACTCCTCTTCCTCAAGGTCCCCATAGCTCCTCCAGCCACCATGCCCTCAGCCATTCCAACGCCTGTATTGAGTTCCACTCCTGACACACCTCCTTCAACTGTTCCTCCACCTGCATAGGTGTTGGTGTAGATTTCTGAAAAGAGAGGATGTCCCTTAATAGTGCTTGAGTTGCCTATGTTGCTCATGCACCCCAAACATTGCCAGCTGCTGTCTTCCAGCCCTCTACCACCCTACAATAAGCAGGCTCTGGAAAACCAGGCAAGGAACAGCAGGAATTACACCCAGAATCTCCAGTCTTGGTGAGAAAACAAAAGTAGCTGATACAGAGGGAGCAAGTTATGGGAGATAGACTTCGCCTTCGTGTATGCACAGAACTTTCTCCTCTAGACTTAGAGGTTCTGTAGAGCTTGCCAAGAGGAGCGGGGTCTCTGCATCGGTGCCAGTTCCTGCCTTTGCTACCTCTGGCAAGTGCCCCAGCCCCCATGAAAGAATGTGACTTGCATTTCCAACAGTTGAAATTCCAGGTCCTCATTCACACTGGTGCTGAATGGAGAGCTGGAATTCTCACATGACTGTTCAGTCAATGTATATCTTTGCATGGAAAGTGTCAGACTTGGGATACTAAGGAAAAGAAATCTCATGTCTGCTTCAGAATGGGGCAGCTCTCTATTTGGTTCCAGCATTGCACAATATCCAGGTATTTTTCAGTATTCTAAAGTGTGGGTGGGACTGGTAAGTTAGGAAAGTATAAGACACTGTTTATGCAAAAGAACATGTGAATTGAAGGAAAATTCTTCAACTTTTGTTAGAACATATTTGGTGCTTTTTCTTTTGTTCTTATTTACATTGTAAATAATCCCTACAAGAGCCTATGCTCTGTCAGGAACAATTCTCATGTATATTTTGTGACATCTACCTGTATCATACCTAATATGTGTGTAATTTTGATATCATATTTAATATTTGTGTGTGTTTATTTGTTTATTTCTCCTAGCAGCACTTTGAAGTAGGTATTGTGATAATTTCGATTTTAAAGAGAAGGAAATAGGCTCAGGGAAGTTGGGTCTTGCCCAGGGACTATTATTACTAATGAGTGGCTGAGCCAGGAATCAAATGGAAGCACTCTTATTTCAGAGTTTGTTGTAAAAGTCAAGTTTAAGATAGAAAAATAAAGTGGCCACTTCAACATGTCACTTTCCCGGTAATTATACGATCCGTTAAGGAGATCGACAGATATTTTTTGGGGGAGGGAGGGGTACCAGGGATTGACTTCAGGGGCATTCGGCCACTGAACCACATCCTTAGCCCTATTTTGTATTTTATTTAGAGACAGGGTCTCACTGAGTTGCTTAGTACCTCGATTTTGCTGAGGCTGGCTTTGAACTTTCAATACTCTTGTCTCAGCCTCCAGAGGTGCTGGATTACAGTCATGCACCACTGTACCTGGCTGGATATGTTATTTTTTATAAGGTACTGTTAGGTGAGATAGGTTTGGTTGAATAATTTTGCAAATTGAAAAAGAAAAACAGAGTTTATTGTTCACTGACCAGAGGAATCAATACGATCCTGGGTATTAGAGGCTGTCATGGGTGCGCATATATTGGACACATCCTGAAAAGAAAAAAAAAAAAAGATTTTAAAACAAATGTGTTATGTTAAACATTTTAACACTGACATCCACTCATTTTTGTGTCATGGGTAATCATTAAAGCATGCACAAGTTCCACCTAAACTCTGTGCTTCTCTGGAAAGTGACAGACCACTTACCCTGTCCTCGGGTTGGGCCCCCTCTATCCTCCAGGACTGCATCACTCCTTCTCCACCCTCAGGCACAGGAGCAAACCTGGTCCCCAGGCCCTCTGGTTGTCTTCGTTTGCAGCAGCACATGAGCAGCAAGAGTGGCGACACTGCCCAAGAAAGCAATAAGTAAGGGTTAAAATCTGTCGCTCAAGCTAGGAAGCCAATGAATTCATTGGTTTTTTGTGGCATTATGGTTAGAACCAAAGAGATAAATATTAAGATAAAAAATATTTAGGATAAATACTAAAATAAAATAAATTTTGCTCCTACAGGATTGAGAACACATCCATGTCTATAAATACTAACTTACCAAATCACATAGGACTTTAGAATGGAAATGGAGGGAGTGTGAGATCACTTAATCCAGACCCTTTACTGATAAATTAGGAAAGTAAAGTCCACTCTTTCCTCTAGTCCAAGATTCCTGAGCCTGTTGGTAGCATATTCAGGTCAGGAAGACTAATGAAATTCTAGTGCTATCCTGCAGAAAATGTAGCTGATTCTAGGTTTTAACCTTTAAATTCCCAAAGGCTTAAACATGCAGGTGCTTGGGTCTCATTTGGGGTTAGGACTCAGATGTGAGTAATTATAAAGCCTTCTAGGTGTTTCTTATGTGCTGCTAGGGCTGAGAACAACTGATTTAAAGGCTAGCTGCCATCTCAGCTGCTCTGGAATTGTGTTCTGGGAAAATGTCTCTAATATTATTTTGAGCATCATCCATTATTTTTTTATAGATTTACAAAATCACAGATTATTTTAAGGATGATAGGCTGTCCAAAAGTCAGTTGCTAATTTTTTATACTTTGAAATGATAATGTTTTAATTTGTGCTCATTCATTAACACATGTTCAATCCTTTTTAATTTTAGAACCAGTGTTTGATCCCCATGAAACTGAAGTCTTGCAAGGGCAACCTAAAATACGTGAAGTATTTCTGTTTCGAGGCTCTGCATGGTTTTTAAAAAGGTATATAGAGAGGAGAACTTCATTTTGAAAGTTCTGCTTGGGGCTCTTGCCATGATCTTAGTTCAGAGCCCAGAAGCTAATTCCCTTTTCTAAACTCGATTCCAAGCATCCTATTGCATCATAGTCAGTAGGTCACCAGATCACCTGAGCTCCAGGTCCTTACTGATTCCTTGTTGCCTGTGGACCAAAGCCCAGAACATTTGGTATATCATGAACGTGCCTCCACGTGGGCCCCCAACCTATTTTTTAGCCTGTTCACCTCCTGAGTGTGCTCTGCTTTTCCATCCTCCTCCTGTCTGTTGTTTTATTTTGGTTTTTGGTTCTGAGGATTGAACCCAGGGCCTCACTCATGCTAAGCATGTGCTGGGATATACTCCTAGCCTCTCTCTGTTTGTGCTATTTCTTTGTTGTAGATGGCTATTTGGCTTTCCTACAAACATCATCCTTCTAAGAAAATTCTCAGCTTTCAAAGGCCGGCTGAAAATCCATTTCTTCCATAAAGATTTTCCCAACCTTCCTATTTTGAATTAATTGCTTTTGCTTTTCTGCTCTTAAAGCATGTTGATGAAATTCCCATTATAAGTTTATTTTATGCTCTTCTATATCTATGTTGGTGATTAGCATGGTTTCTCATTTTCAGGACACTCACTAACTTCAGGTCATCTCAGGTACCATTACTGAATAGATGCCTACCTTATCAGCCCCATCATTTATTTCCAAGGACACACAAAAATTGCCATAGATTCTAAAAAGAAACAGCCACGTGAGCCTAGCCATCTTGGTGTGCCTGGTGACAGCCCTATTTTGAAGAACTGCTGAAAAGGTGGACTTAATACAATACTTACAGAGCAGAATTAAGCCACCCATCGCCATCATGCCAATTGCTGCTGGTCCAAGACCAACATTTGAATCTCCAGCTTGGTCATCAGTGATTGTCCCATACATGTCATCAGGGGATGAGCTGATGTCTTCATTATAGATACCAGGAGTGCTAGAGTGCAGGCATATGCCATTGCTATCACAACTGCAGGCATCAAATTGCACAATCTGTGGCAATTCACATGCCCTGTTATAGCTGTCCTTCACTAGGATTGGGATTTGGTGAAGTCCTGGAGATATCACCTCATCAGTTGTCAGGATTGCAAAGGTTCCTGAAAAGGAAAAGAAGAAACTGAATCAATTAAAATTCCTTGAGGGTAGCTCTTAATACCCAAGACTAAATTAGAAACCGAAGTTTCCATGCTCTTAGTCGTAAAGCATCCTCTCCTTTGATTAATATTTTCATTTATAATTAATTGTTCAGTACTGCTCCCTGCTTATTTCTACAAAGCAGGCAGGGACTCTGTTGGTTAATTCTGGAGCAACAATACCTGGAATTTGATAGACACTCAATAAAATTGGTCTAATGATGAATTATACTTAGTTGAAAAAAATATTGGAAGTTTCCTATTGAGTATTACAGTTCACAAAATAACCTCCTTAGGGCTGTTATTTATTAATTGCCTTTGCATTTAAAATTAATTCAATAGCTATTCTAATTCTTTGTGCTACCTTGCTTATGAATTTCTATGTGAAATATTGCTTAAACATTGGTTGATATATACTTATTAACCCAGGGAAAGTTTAGAGATGATTAAATCTTTACCTAAAATATGAATAGTAACGAACTAATGTTAATAGTAACTGATTAATGTAACACATAATTTTTTTTGTTGTGATGGTTTATTACCTTCAGTTAGCTTTATAAAAAGCCAGCTGTGTCTGTCAAAATCTAACCTGTGCACAAAATAAGAATCAAGTAAGGCAACATCACAGCAAGAAGACAAAGTTCATTGCATTCTTCAACATTAACATGGATTCTAGGAAAATTCTCTCTAGTGTGGTTATATTTATTGGCAAATTTATAATGTCATTTGTATACCTTTGCCAACCTTCATGTAAAACAGTTTATAAAAATATTTTTTACTCAGAATACCTAGGATATGAATGAAAAAAAAAGTGGCTAGCAATTATCATTTAAGAATGGTCTATTCAGCTTTATAGAGGAAGGTAGATTCAGAGTTATCCTGATTTTATTGGAATTTCTTTAATGTGTTTAGCTTTTAAAATATTGACATGGTTTTGTTGCCAAAAAAATAAAATAAAAAAATCTTACACCAAGTCTTTATTGGTGGTATTTTTTCCTGTATCATTCAGAGTTTCTCCATTCTGTAAAGTCTGTGAATGATGAAGCCTGGTGGTCTCAGAGTGGTAGGAAGTATTTTCTCTCACTTTGAGGGTAGTCTGACGCCCTCCTTGGTACCCCTCAAAGTTTTTTGTATTGCCCCAAATAAATGTGAACTCAGGGTACTATCTTAGTCCAAATTAGGTTTCTCATAGTATTTAATTTTCAATTTATACAATTAATGTTTCAGGAGAAAGAATCCATGGTAGATAAAATGGTATGTTGTTTAAAATTTACTGATTTAAAAAAAAAATCAACGTCAGACATTCATTTCTATGTATCTATAGTCAGCACAGATACACAGAATGAGTCTTTCGCTTCACATTCTTTGGTTTATGCAATCCTTTATGTTTAAGTACTTTGCATGATTCTAATTTTAATGGCTTTGTAGTACCACATCTTAATAATATGTACCAGAATTTGTTCAACCTTTCTTCTAATACCGGGAAATTTGGGTTTAAATTTTTATCCTTACTAATAGCTCCCGATTAGAAACATTTTCATGGATCTTATGTGCTCCTTAGTAGACTATATGTAAATGTGTCTACATGAATACCCAAATTTCAGAGATTAGTGACATGCATGAAATTATTCAGAATAGGGAATTGTGACATTAGGTGATTTAGTTAAGCGTTCTGTTTATTTCATCTGATCAAATATTGGTTTACTTACTATATAAAATGTTCGGTAAACTGGTATCTGTTATTTATATACCACTATTTATAAATGTAGCATTGATGAAACATTTTGACTTTTATTTCAGTCTAAATTTTTCCTCAAGTATCCTAAGTGTGTATAAGAAGTTTTGTTTTTTTTCCATTTAATGTGAATATGGCAAGAATTATGAAAAACAGACATAGAAATGACTTACCTAATTATTTGGTAACTGTTTTGCTTTTGGACTTAAAGTGTGACCCAGTTTACATTTCACTTACCATTTATTGGTTCGATATTCCATATGTCAGCTGTTCCTGGTGGCTCATCAACAACACAGAAGGTAAAGGGAGCCCCATAAGAATGATCACTAACATAGATAGGGACCGATGGAGAAACCATGCAGGTGGTGCTGCTTTCAGGACAAATGACTGGACAGTAGTCATTGACATCAGGAACCTCAATACATATGGTTCCTGTAGCTGTTTTCCTAGAGCCGTCTGAAAAGCAAAGCATTATGTGTTGAGGTAAATGGTGCCAGGGAGAAAACTCTGTCTCATATTTCATGATGATGCAACAGTATATAGGAATCGTTCACCAGTTCATCAACCTGCTGTCACTCTTGCTCTTCCTTTGTGTGTTTCATTTCAGTCACATTGGCTTCTTTTGCTTTTTTTTTTTTGCAGTGCTGAGACCTGCACCTGATGGCTTGCTCATGCCAGGCAAATGCTCTACATCACCAGCCCTTTTTGGGTTTCTTGAACAAGTTTTTTCCTAACTTGAGGTTCTTATGCATTCTGTTCACTCTCCCTAAAGCGATTTTCATCTTCATTTCATTCCCCTAGAATCTCTGCATCCTAAGGTGGAAAATTAAATGTCCTTCCTCAGAGAAGTTTCACTGCTTTCTATTCTCACACTGTCCCAATAAATTAGGGCCCCCCAGACCAGGTGATAACCCTCCTTTTGGGATGCTTATGGAGATTTAGGTGTTGGAAATAACTGCAATTAAAATTAAATAATTGTGTATTTTTCTTTCTGTTTCTTTGTTGATTTGAATCCCTTCCTATTTCTCTCTGAAATGGTAATTCTGAAAACAAATATGAGTCAATTAGATTTTTTTTCCTCCTAACCCATTTGAAACAAATTTTTAGTTAACATAACTTATTGGAAAAGCCAGGGGATAAGAATTAGGAATCTGTGCCTGGTCCACTTTTTTATTCTATGTTCTCTGATAGTGAATAAAGAATTTCATGTTTGCTTTTGCAACCCACTTTGGTTTTCTCATCATTTACAGACTAGAACATTATCACTTCTAGGACTTTACTAGGTCATTTTCTGAGAAGTTAATTGATTTTGTTTATCGCTTTTGTGTGTGTATCTAAGTGGAGTCACTGAGTTTACCAAATGACAATAAACCAATGAACTATCCATGTCTAGCATGATTTTGTACAATCTGTTCTGATACCCTATTTAGCAATGGATTTTCTAAAGTGTTTATTCACTCAGTCTCTCATTAGAGAGATGATCGCATAGATTGCTTTGACATTATCTGGTCCTCTTTGCTTTCTTATGGCCTCGTGGTGTAGCAACCAAAGCTGAAGCTATTGCTTACAGCACCTACTCTCCAATGCAGTTTGGTTCCCCTGGAGTTCTGTCTTCATTCATGATGGTCAGGCAGCCTGGGTCAAAACAGAACTGTCTGGATATCTCTGTGCCCGTGCAGACATTGCTCAGGTGACAAATGATGAGCCTGCGTTTAGTTTACCATGGATACATTTTGATTACACTTTCACTCTCTCTTTCTGCACTTGAAATGACTACTTTTCTAATTCTAGTTTAGGAAGATTGGCTTCAAATATAATCAATATGTAAACATGGGGTGTGGTCAACATGGTTAGAATCCATTTCCTTCTAGAATACTGATAGTAAATATTATTCATAAACTGACTCAGATGTTGAAAGTTACACCCTTAGGATGAAGACCAGAATCTGTGGCCCATTGCTTGGACTTTAATCATGGTCTCTTTTTGAATCTTACACTGCTCATTGTATCTTTCTCTTGTTTGGCTATTGTAAAGATCAGATATAAAAGTAGTGCAAACCTACAGTATTTATCTTACATTAGGCATGTGTTTGAGACATCTATCTTTCCCCTTCTTTCCTGGTTACTGACCTATCTCTGTTTTGTTCTGTAGCAGCTGGTTTCCTAGGCACTGCTCTGAAGAATCATTAACTGCTGAATAATCAACAAATACTGTTGCTACTCATCCAGATGAATGTGTAATAGATTTTCTCATGTGGGAAGTGGCTCAATTACAAATTAATTCAGTGCATTTGTGCTTCTGTTTTAAATTTGAATCTTCTATCTGGAATAATCTAGTACTTTCATGGATCATAGTATCTTATTCTGGGCAATATGTCTAATAAAACAGTACTCATGCAAATTTGTCATTGTAGCTCAGTTTTGGTGGCTCTAAAAAAACTATTGCCTTCCCAGCAGATGATCCCAGAGTGAACTTTGTGCACAGATTGTAGAATTTACTTTAGGTAAGCATTCCTGACATACTCAACAGGTGGGATTAGTCATACTTAAGAGATGAGGTAATAAATGGAAACAAAATTATATACTTTTTCTTTTTTTGGTGATGCTGCAGACCAAACCTATGGCCTCACACATATAGGCAAGCTCTCTACCACTGAACTAACTCCCCAGTCCTATGTATATATATATATATATATTTTATCTTCTATATTTTATGCTGTAAACCGTATTAAATTCTTTTTGAAAGTAGGTGAAATAAATTATTCCTAAGTGTAAATTAAATTCATACATGTAGTTAAATTCAGTTTTTGATCTTAGGTGCTTAGAACGTTCCTTAAGTCTTGCCTATACCACTAAACGATATATTTTGTGACTCATATATCAACATAAGAATAATAACATTTATAATATTTAATATAATAGGATTAATATTTTAAAATATTGGAAATAAATATTCTTACCATCTATAGCCAGGATCTGTGCTGTGTACATCCCATTGGTAATATATTTTGACTTCTTATCAAATTCTCTAGAGAATTGTATTTCACCAGTCCTTGAATCAACTTTTAACCAGTTGCCTGCATCATGCCCTATGATATACCTGTTTTTAAATAAGTACATCATTATGCTTTTATGAAAATTAATACTTTAAAATCACATAAGAGATTCAATGTGGTAAACATATTGTTTCTGCGTGCTTTATAGTGACAATTGTCTTGATTTATAAAAGGTATCTATCTATCTATCTATCTATCTATATGACAATAAGAAGCCAATATTAAATGTAATAATGCACAGGTTGACAAAAAAGTATTGAAATTTCATCATTCTTACTCTTCTAGCTCTGAGTGTAATTAACAAAATGTATGAGTTTCAGATCTATTTATTAAATCATAGCAATATTAAATATATTTTATTTATTTTAAAAAACAAATATGGTGTATTCATTTTTACATGTGGCATACTTAGTATATGTGCTGTGGATTTTAGGGCATCTTGATTTCAGAGAACCCCATTGCTGGCCTGTTTGGGAGTTCTCCTTGATTCTCTCTCTGGGTCTTTTTATAGCTAATGGATTTAAAGTTTTTGACCTAATTGGAGGGAGATTTGGGTCTCTGTACCAGGCACAATTTCAAATCTTCAGTTCATTTATTTGATATTCTTCTTCCTTTCCCCTATACCATCAGGCTTCATACTTTTTTGAATCTGTCAACTTGTTATTTGATTAGTTGAAACTGTTAATATCAAAGTAATTTATAAGTCAATAGACTTTCTTGACTACAAAAATATTAGAAGGAATAAAAGGAGAGAGATGGGAAGCATATAGAGAAGACCCATCTACTTCACTGTTTTACATCGTTTTAATTTGTATCTATGTACCTAGTTCCCCTCATACCTACCTTTCTATTTCTCCCATTATGACTCTTTATGTTCATTAAATTTCTGAAACAACCATGTTTTAGCTTTTCCTATTGTTTTTCTTTTTCCTCTTAGGTTAAGCAGAGGGTTGAAATGAGTCTCAAAGTCATAGACACCCATGGGCTTTAAAAAAACAAGCAGTGACTCATCTTTAGAGTGTGTTTCTGTCTACAATATGATGTAATCAGCCTTAGTCCAGGCTAGTACAACTGGGTACAAGAGATCAAAGAGATTGCTGGAGTAACTTGGGTGGATCTTTAGTTCTACAATTGTTCCTTGCACACAACTAATCTTAAAATCAATCGGAGCTCTTACAAAAAAAATTTCAAATGCCACACTAGTTTTCTTAAAGAAATATTCATACAAAGAAGAGCAAAACAAAATCTTAAAAAAGTGTTTATAACCAAAATACACTAGCAGATACCACCATAAATTAACAATGGCCAGAATCAGGCTACACCAACATGAATCAAGCATTGGCAGTACCTGACATTTGTTGCAGGATTTCCTGTGTCCATATCCATGGCTGTGTATGTGCCAAGCACATAATTCAATAAGGAATCTCCTCTTATTCCTTCCCGTACACTAAAAGTCATGGAACTAGGATGAAATGTGGGTCCTTCTCTCACGTTAACAATTTGAATTCTCACAGGGGTTGAGTGCATTCGGAATTGAGAAGCAACGGAGTGGTGAAAATCAGCTTGGTTTTTAACTCCAATACCAAGATTAACATTAGGCACTTGTTCATAATCCAGGGTCTAAAATAACGAAAAGTGAAAAACTCTGAAGCAGCCAACAACTCTCTTTTTATAGAAGGAGAAACCAGGACTAAAGCCCAGGAGCTTTGCAACTCAGATTTTAAATGGGAAAAATAGTCATTACTGCATTGGGTATTTTAGCATCTGATTCTTTTTTGTCTTTTGGCATAATCAGGTAGGTATGTAGGTCATTTAAGTCTGTGGCTTTAAATTGGAGTCTAGTTTTGAATTTTTTATATAAAAACCCTTATACAAATGAACAGTTTATAAAAAATAAAAAATAAATTTAGAATGAAATAAAAAATGTTCACAACCGTTGAATGAATAAATCAATAGGACCCAGATTTCCTTTGTAGAACTCACATTTGAGAATCTGTTGGAAGTATGAAGAGCAGATTAAAGGAGTCAAAATATCTGACATAATTAAACAAATAATTTTTTAAAAATTATACAAACAGTTCTAAAGATCTTAGGAGTATTATAGTCAGCCTTACACTATAATTTAATTGCACTGGGCTTGGTGGATAAGAAGACTTCTTTATAGAGCTCATTCAAAAAAGTAAATACCACACCCTGAGAAAAATAACCTTTGAACTTGGTTTGCTGGGTGAAAGATGAATAGAATCGTTTTATCTAGAGTGACTGATGTGGTGACATGAAAAGTTCCAAGAGAAAAAGCCATTGTAAAAAAACAAGGGAGTGCTGGCCAATGTCTATCCAGATGTGCTCTGGAAGCTAAGGTGAGCATCACTTGCGATACATTTGCCAACAACAAAAGCCAAGATGTCTGTGGTCCCAGGGAAGTTCCAGGACATCATGAATGTTTTATTAGATTTTGGAGTTCAAATTTCCACATGTGCTGATAAGATAGATAGAAATATAAGCAGAAATTCACATGAATTTTTGTTGGGACATGGCTTAGCATGCCTCACTTGAATTTCAGCTAAAACCCTTGAGTTCAAGGATTTTGATTGCTTTTATACATCTGTTGACAGTTGCCACCATAATACAGATGAATGTTCCAGTGCACATAATATGAATTACGGAGCTAAATAGGAATTGCATACTCAAAGATGAATTTTCAATGGGAAGAGATTCCTGTTCTATAACTCAATTTTTGTTTTCTAGAATTCCATGTTATCTTTAAGTAAATGAAAAATCTGGGAACTCTATTCTGGTAGAGAAATCTCTTGGGGTTTTCCTATGTTTATACACACAAATACACTTCTGTTCATTACAGTAGTTCTCTCCCTAATGAACAGACTGTAATGCAAACAGACTAACATGTGCCTACATTTTTACCTACTATAGGAACTCATGGAATCTAGGGACAGGAAGTTGATTGAGGATCAATATTCTTTTTAGCAGGGAAGATTACAAGGGGAAATGCAGACATTTGCATTTATTTTTTCCAAGTGGGATCCTTTGTCAAGAATTTTCTGATTGTGTCTAGACATCTTAGGTTTGCAAAGAGCAACAATAACAAACTGTTTACCCCAAAGTGTCTTCTTGGAGTGAATGACTAAATCAAATTCTTAGGACCTAAGGACTTAATTAATATAGTAATTATTTTTGTAAGTTTGATCTTTTCAGAGTTGAGCTCATAAGCCTATTGCTATTTTTTTTTAAATTCCAAAGCATATCTTAGTGTTTAATAAAGGGCTGAAAACTTTTTTTTGGTCAAAGATGTGATAGTAAATATTTTAGATTTTGGGAGTTGTGTACAATTTCTGTCTTAGTATTCATCTCAGCCCTTGCAGTATGAAAATAGCTAGAGAAAAATGTATAAATGAATGAATGTACCTGTGTTCCAACAAAAAATTTATTTATAGAGTAGAGGGTTGGCCAGATTTGGCCTATGGGTCAAAGTTTGTTGACCTCAAAGCAACATTCTCAAACAGTAAGACTACAGTGTATTCTTTGAGTCCTTGTGTTTTCGGAAAGAATTTTAAAATTTTGTGGTTTCGTTTGAATGACAAAAAGTCTATAGATATCTTCTATAATTTTGGTGACCCTATCATAAATTAATACACTGCATGATTTCAGTGCATGATTGTATTTTGTTGGCAAAGTAATAATACTTTAAAAATTGCATCAGGCACTTGAGAAAAGGAAAGATACTTGATGCACAGATGATGTGTTTATATTAGGTGAAGGCTAAATGGATTCCTAATATACTTTTAAAAAAATTCACAGTAACTTCAACAGAAAAAAGTAGTGACCAAATGGAATAATCACAAGCATATTATGTACCAACCTAAATAGATGTGCTTGTGTGTGTCTGAGTGTGTATTTTCCTGCCTATAAGTGTTGTTTATATTGTTAATGGCAATTTCCTTGGAGAAACAAAATTCTCTCATTATATGAATATTCATGTGATCTTATTGGTTTGTGGTTTTGTTTTTAATTTATCAATGTTTAGATTTCATTGTTGCCCATGAAGTAAAATAATAAAGTAGTTTAAGAAAAAATATAGGAAAAAGTCACCCCTGAGAGTTCAGTATTCAAGGTTCTCAGCATAATGACCCTATGCAACATCTATATTCCTCCTCTTTCTTTCCTATGTAAAACCTCTGCTTAGCACAGCCTCACAGGGCTCTTACCAGGGACCAAATATGTGGCATGTTTTCTTGCCTCTCTGTGTTTTTGTTCCTGCCATTATCCACAGTAGCAATCTCAGTTACAAGGTCTTACTTAAATCCTACTCTCTGCTTTTCAGACAAATCTAGCTCAGAAGGATCCCCCCTTCTTGTATGTCATTAATTAGTCCATATTTCATCCATTTGGCAATCAGTTAAGTTTTATATCATGAAATCTTTAACATTACTTATTATATTGCTAAATTCACAGCTGTTATTTAATTCAAAGATACTTCCTTTATGTTATCAAATAGATCTGGGCACTGTGAGAACAAACCAGTCTTCTTATTTTTCCTTAGTAATAACTGTATTGTTGGGAGGGAAGAGTCAGACTGACACAGTGGCCTGCTTGAGACACATGTCAATATAAGCTGCATTCAAGGTTTTATGGAGTACTTTAAAGGCAGATTCTGTCACTGAGAATTATTAAAAAATTCCTTGAAAGAAAATATCGCAGATCCCATACTATACCTTGACTACTTTCAAAATGCCTTCGTTGGTACGTGGGTCTGTTTGAATATCAAACCAGTTTCCATCATTTCCAGAAAGGATTAAATATTGTGCCAACCAATTATCGGTGCCTTCTTCATCAAGATCGATTGCTCGTAGTCTGATCAGTTCTGAACTCAAACAATTTTCTTCAATGCTTGCTGAGTACTGAAATGACATGGATTGATTTTTATAATCAATGAATTTTCAAAAGCAAAAAGATACTTACTAATACATAGTCATCTTCTAAAATGCTAAAGATGAACTATGTCAATGAGTTTGTACTGTTGTTAAATGGCAAATGTCCAATCATAAATAAAAGAAATAATTCTATGATAATAAAATAGATTTTCATGTGCTGCATGTGAAATCAAGATCAAATTGGCACTTTCTTATTTTGTCTTGATTTTAGAATTCAAATGATTGTCTTCATCTGCATCTGTGGCACATAGCTTTATCACTAGTGCATCTAGAAATAAAGATAATGGTGGAAAATGGCTGGGAATTCCATTAAAATTAGTTCAGCAAATCAGTAGACATAAAAAGGAAGAGTGGTTGGACTTCTGAATTCTCTTCATTAGAGTTTTCTATGAGTGTGTGTCTGAGTGTGTATATTTTTATCAACAGTATATTTTTATCGACTCCATTCCTTTCTGTTAGATAGGGATCAGATTTTTTTCTGTAAATGGCTGATAATAAATACATTAGGTTTTATGGCCCAGAAAAATCCCCCCCTTTTTTTTTGTCTCTGCTGTTGAAGCACAAGGTAGCTACAGACAGCATGGAAAAGAATGATCAATAAAATACATTTTTACAAAAACAGGTGGCAAGTCAGATTTGTCCCTGGTATTCTACATTTTACGTTTTTATGCCTGAATATGAAAATTGAAGTTGAGACTGCTTGGGATTCTGGTGGAATTAATTCAGCCCATCATGAGTCATATATGAACATATTACTATTACATTATTCTGATTTATATCAACGAATTTATACATTTCTGTGAGGAGAGTATATGGAGTAGATAGTTCTTGCTTTCAGATAGATTTTCTTTGAAATAGTGAGTTAAAAATAAACATATAGAGGCTAGGGTTGTGGCTCAGTGGTAGAGCGCTTGCCTTGCACGTGCAAGGCACTGGGTTCGTTTCCCTGGCACCACATAAAAAAACTAAATAAACAAAATAAAGGTGTTGTGTCCATCTACATCTAAAAGTATTTTTAAAAATAATTTTAAAAGATAAATATACAACATTAAGTTATATTATTATACACAAGAAATTCAGAGTTCATCCATACAAGCGACAAAACCAGGCTCATGAATTAATAGGAAAGCAAATCGATTACTGATACTTATGGAAGAATGATCATAGGAAAATCCACTTACTGAAGTCTTCTCTAAGATGGGGAAATTATCATTGACGTCCAAAACCTTGATTCTACAGTCACACTCAGAGGACAATCCATCTTCAGCTCCATCACGATCAGAGCCCCGCACAAGTAGGTTGTACATACTGTGTTGCTTAATTAAGATGAAAAAAAAAATTGTAAGACTTAGATCTTGTCTTGAATAGAATTTAACATATTCCAGTGCCTTTATCTGTCTTTTCTTTTATATCCACATTAAATAAAATCTATATGATTGATCTTTTAATTTTCATTAAAAAATGACTTTGCTTGTTTTCCATCCCTCCTTCACGTGGGATTAAGGGAAGACATGGATCATTTCATCTTTGTCTCTTCATAACTGAATTCTTTATTTCTTATCATTCCATTCACAGAAGGCTTTACCTCTCTGTCAAGGAAACTGGACATGGTGCGGACTTCTCCAGTGTACCTGTTCACAATGAACATTGGTGCACCTGCAGGCTCCTGAGAAATGATCTTGTAGGCGATTTTAGAATTCAAATGATTGTCTTCATCTGCATCTGTGGCACTTAGCTTTATCACCAGTGCATCTAGAAATAAAGATAATGGTGGAAAATGGCTGGGAATTCCATTAAAATTAACTCAGCAAATCAGTAGACATAAAAAGGAAGAGTGGTTGGGCTTCTGAATTCTCTTCATTAGAGTTTTCTATGAGAGTATATTCCATAACTCACAGCTATACTGGTGATTAGTAAAACAGCAGTGGTTTGCTTATATGAAACTTATATGAAACTTTCTACTATTTATAAAGTACTTTACTCCTTAAATGATTAAATGGTAAAATAGTAAATATAGAGCTCTTTAGTGTGTGAAAAAGAAGTTCAGAAGACTATCAAAAGTCAAAGGAAGTGATTGTGTCAGTTTCAATTTTTTGCTATGGTCTTGTGAAACTACTTTAAAATGCCCCATTGAGAAAGATTATAACTTAGTTAAATTCAACATTGCAATTATTTACTGAACACCCACATTCTTAATTGTCACTCACCTAAAAATCAGAGAATTACTATAGATTACACTTTACTAAGTAGTCAAAAATACATAATTACTGAAAAGAAGATTTGCTCATAGGAATATAAGACATTTTTAATTATTCACAGAGACAGAGAACAGGCATCCCAAGTCAATCCCCAAGGATAGTAGTGCATGGGGCACATTTTCCAGAGTTGACAGATTCCCTGACATACTTTTGCTTTGCAGGTCCCAAAGTAAAAAATCCTACCCCAGAAAACCAGGAAAGCCCTAAATAGAAAGAGCCAGGATTCCAGGACATCATAGTCTGTGCAGGTTGTGCCCTGGCCCTGCAGTCTTTATCTAGTAACTACTCTCTCTGGAAGAAGCATTAACGACTTCTTTTTTTTAGCTTGTGATTTTTAAAAAAATTCTAATTTGTTATGTATGACAGCAGAATGCATTACAATTCATATTACACATATAAAGCATAATTTTTTCATATATCTGGTTGTACACAAAGTAGAGTCACACCATTTGTGTTTTTATATGTGTACTTAGGGTAATGATGTCCTTCTCATTCCCCTGTCTTTCCTACCCCCATGCCCCTTTCTTCCCCTCTCTCCTTTTTGCTTTATCTAGAGTGCATCTAATCCACCCATGCTCCCCCTCCAACCCCATTATGAGTCAGCATCCTTATATCAGAGAAAACATTCGGCATTTGGTATTTTGAAATTGGCTAACTTCATTAACAACTTCTCATCAGCAAGGTGGTGACTTGGATGAAGGTTTTGCCTTCTCTTCCTTCACCAAGGCTGTCCTGAAGTATGTTAGCAAGGAAGCACTCTCTGTTTTGCCTCCTTTTGGCAAATCTTTCTCTCTGCCTCTTTACGTTCTCCCATCCTTTACATTAAAAACCATTTTGTGTTTATCTGCTTTACTTCTGAAACTTATTATTTTTTTTCCCAACATTTCCCTCCTAATGGACTTAGAGGTATTTTGGCAGGATTTGTAAGGGAAAGGGATGTTAGAGGACTGTGTGTGAGGAAGAGGCATAGCCAGCACCATCACTCTGCCCTGGTGTGGTTCAGCCAATAATTTTGAGGACAGACCAGAAAGGGACCTTATTTAACATTCATGATTTCTTCCTCAGGTTACTCTTGTGGACTCAGTACACCGTGAACCCATGAATACTTGAGAAAGGTGCAAGCACTGGCTTAATTGCATGTGTAAAAATACCTAAAAATAAGAGGATATTTAGTATTTTTAGGCATGAGTTCTTTTCTGAGTTTTCAGTTAAAGTTTGTGGAGTTTAGTCAAAAATGCAAGTTGAGCTCTTTCCGATCTTTAAGTTACCAATATCTGTAAGTTTCATTGTTCTAAAGCTTTTGATGAAAGGAATTAGATAAGGTGTAAAGCAGAGAAAGGGCATCTTCTGACTTACTGGCATCACTGTTTTCTTCAATGCTGGCTGTGTACACGTTCTGTGTGAAGACCGGGGGGTTATCATTTATGTCCATAACTTTGACTCTGAGCTCCAGTGGTCTCTCTAAATCTTCACCCCGTGAATTCAGAGCCCGGCAATAGATCTGTGGAAAGTTGAGAAAAACAACAACAACAACAACAACAACAAACCCAAAATTGACATTCTCCACCAAAGGAAAGGAAGTAACATGTTTGAAAGGGCAGGCTGAAATATGTAAAAGAAACAATTTTTTATTGAAGTCAGACCATATTGTCGTCTACAACTAAAATGTCATCAAGACATTTGGTCATGTGCTACTGCAACACACAAGAGAATCCTGCATTATAAACATACATTTTCACTTTTCCCACTCCCTCACGTCCTTCATTTGTTTCAATTTAGTGTTTTATCAAAAGTAAGCCATATGCCTGAAATGATTCAAATTTTTTTTCTTTCTTTAGTTGTAGATGGACACAATCACTTTATTTATTTATTTATTTTTATGTGATGCTGAGGATCGAACCCAGTGACTTACATGCTAGGCAAGTGCTCTACCACTGAACCACAGCCCCAGCCACTGAAATGATTTTTTTTTTAAAGGAAGAAAAATAATATGAATAAATCTGAACACACTGCTGTGACTTACCAAGAAGAGTGGAGTTATCTCTCTGTCCACCACCGAAGTGATGTTAATTTCCCCAGTGCGAGGATTAATGGTGAACACCCCGTAAGGTGGCCGATCAATCCCTGCTCCAGAGATTCGGTATGTAATCTTATGATTCACTTCACAGTCTGATCGAATCTATAAGCAAAGTGGTTTAGGATTATGAGAGCAAATCATAAACCTCAGAATGTCTTGGAATGAAAGCAAGTGGGAATTGAAGCCAGATGGTGTTTGGTTTGAGAGCCCAAGACTTATTCAAACATCTGCTCTTGGTGAGGACAACACTATTACCTGACAGGCTTGTATGAGATGATTATACAGCCCCAGTACAAAGTGTATGTGCACACAGGATACACACTTGATGCTAGATTTGTTATATTAGCAATACGTTCAATTCTCTGATTTTGTTTTCATAGAGACAATCGGATAGAAGAAATCAGGATTGTCAGCATTTAAAAATGTGTTATATTAATAAGTACCCTGCTTAGATTTGAGATTTAGCCAAAATGGCAGATAAGTTAAGAAAATTGGAAGAGAAATACAGTGTTTAGAAAATTTAAAAAATTAATTTATTGTGTCATTCTTCTTCCAAATAGATTTTTATGGCCAATATTCTACCACATGGATTTTTTTTTTTGGGGGGGGGCACAGGGTACAGTGGATTGAACCCAAGGGGCACTTTACCACTAGCTACATCCTCAGTCCTTTTAACTTTTTATTTTGAGGCAGGGTCTCACTGAGTTTCTTAGGGCCTCATTAAGTTGCTGGGACTGGCCTCAAACTTGCAATCTTTTTGTCTCAGCCTCCTGAGTCACTGGGATTACAGGTATATGCCATCACACCTGGCTCTCTACCATGTGGATTTTTAAAAATAGTTTTGTAACTGTTGCTAATAAATTTAAAATAAGATAGTTTATATTTTGAAACTTTATCTGTATACTAAAGATGAGAACATTTGGTAAAAGATTAGAATTTATTATCCAAACAACTACAATTAATTAAAGTAAGTGAGGAATATAATTTCAGTTAGCTCACGTCTATTCCAAGGATCTTTTTTATGTAGAAGAAAACTCAGAAATATCCACAATGCAAATAAAAAACAATGTGCAATATGAGGAGGATAACATAAAGTTATAACTATGAATTTAATGAAAATATAAATGATAATTTAAAAATAATTTAGATAACTTAAAAATAATAATTTAAAAGCTTTCTCTAGCCCCTTTTGTTGAGGGTCTTGCTAAATTGCCCAGGATAATCTTAAACTTGTGCTTCTCCTGTCTTAGTCTCCTAAGTAGCTGAGAGTATAGGTGTGTGCCACTATACCTAGCATTTTTTCTTGAGCTGAGGTTACACCCATAACCTCATTGCTAATACTTACTCTATTTTGTTGTTGTTGTTGTTAATTTGAACCTGGGGGAACTCTCTCACTGAGCTATATCCCTAGCCCATTTAAAAAATTTGAGACAGTATCTTGTTAGGTTGCCCGCTGGCCTTGGACTTGCAATCTTGTTGCCTCACCCTCCTGAGTATCTGGGATTACTGGCATGTACCACCATGCCTGGCTGATACTTGATTTTTAATGTAAAGCTGTAAAGCAGGAATTTTGGTAGATAAATCTGATGTTGATTTCAAATTTAGTTCAAGGCCAAGAGAGCCAGAAAGAACTAGCAAAGTTGTTAATGTGAATCCTAGTCTGCATGGATTGATGGATTACACATGATTCTTTCTTTAGCTCTCCTTCTTTATTGGTAGACATTGTTTGTGAAGGCTTTTTAAAATTTTTTCTTAAGCTTTTTTTCCCTCCTCTCCTTTTCAGTATTAAACCCTCGCTTGCATACTAGACAAGCTATTTCCTATTGAACTACATCCTCAGCAAACCCCACGATTTTTCCATGAGATAGTGTCTCCCTATGTTGACCAGGCTGGCCTCAAACTTGTGATCTTCCTGCCTCAGCCTCCTGAGTAGCTGGGAAACAGGAGGCACCATCAGGTTTGGCTTGTAAAAGCCTTTTACTACCCTTCTACCTCCAGGTTGTAGAGATCTGATGGGAACATTTGACATCATCTTTACTTGCTTGACTTAATCAAAAGCGATATACCCTTGATTTTTCGAGATATAGTCTTCAGACTATCATACATTTCCTATAACACAGACATGTAGTTATAAGCAGCACACAAACAAATAAAATCCACTGGTGCTAGAGATCCAAGTCTTTCTTCTTGGACCACTTGGACTCTCTGTTCTGTATCAGCCCCCAGCACGTGGTACTCAAAAAGTATCTCAGCAACACAAGCCATGACTGCAAATGTTCTAGAGCTTTCCTGCACAAAAGCATTGCGATCAGCTCAGGATATTTCCGTTTGTCATCACTTACTCTGGCGATTGGATTCCTCTTCGAGTTGTCCTCTCCTTCTCGACAGGCAGCTGCGAACTTGATCCACTCCCGCTTTTGTCTTCTGACAGTTTGCCACGTTGTCGTGCCATTTTCAATGTCTAGTTCTTTCACCTTAAGCAAAAATGGTTCATATTTCTTACAGAGTTAAAACACTTTTACTTAGGATAGACATGCATTTAACACTGTCAGGAGCATCCAGAAGAAACAATATTGTTGAATTTGAGGAACAAAGGGATTTTTTTACTAAATCACAACTCTGGAAAGACATAACTTGCCTACCTCTGACTACTACTTCTTTTGGAATCATCTTACTTTTAACTAGAAGACTCTAGTGCAACAGATTTCATTAGTTGTCTGTGTGCTCAAAATGGACATACTTAATCATATGATGGAGTTTTTCTCTTATCTGTCTTCACTAGGTAGAGGCCTTTCCTACCTCACCTTTCCTTGAGCTCTGACCAGACTTTACCAACTCTAGAGTGCAGATTGTCACTGTTCCATGTGAGTATGTCCCTTAAAAAGTGGTAGTTAGACAGTTGTGCTCACCTAAAAGAGGGAAGGTATGTTTTCTTCTGTTGATAAAACACCACTGTGGCTAAGCATCCAAATATGTTAATGCAAAATTAGAAGAATATTGTTAAGTGATGGGACCAGAGATAATCTTTTGCATGTCTTTATGGCTTCTCAGTATTGTATGTTTGTATCTCTGCTTGCTATATGTTTGTCCCTTTATAATTTCATGTTACTATTATTGGTGAGTGCTTAACAATTTTATACTAAATACTGCAGAATTTAGAAATGCTACTACATCAAAAACATATACATAATATGAGTTTATTTTTGGAAGTTCTAATGTCTTTATTGAAGCATAAGTGGTTATATGTTTACTTAAGCTAAGACTTTAATTACCACTTTTGGGGAAGCAGATGTTCTATATAAATGGAGTTTTTTTTTTTAAAGAACTAATGCATTTACACTTAATTTTAATACAATTTCTTGAAAGGTCTACATATTTTCTATTTTGTAAATAGAAATTAGAAAAGTAATTTCATCTTTTCCAATGATTAGAGATGATTATAATGAAAATTAACTATGATAATAAAATTAAACACCAACAGAGAACAGGAGAGTAGGTTTATTTCCTGACTCCCACTGCTTGTGTATGTGTGTGTGTGTGTGTGTGTGTTTGGTGCTGGGGATTGAACTCATAGCTTCATTCATAGTAGGCACTGGCCACTGAGCTACATCTCCAGCCCTGTGGATCTCACTTGAAAAGGTACCACATTATTTATTGGCTTAGTTAGTGATACTTAAAAATGTTTTTTATTTTTAATCTTTCCCTCATTCATAGACCATCAATTGTCATTCTTGTTGATGTGTCTAAAAATCCTCTTCCATTCTAAAATGTTTCTTTGCTTCTTTTGCTGTGTCATTGGTTGGTTGGGGGACATGTAAGTAAGCTACTAACATAGTCTGATGAGTAGGTGTCACTACCAAGACACTGAGCTGTCACAAACCATGCTCTAAATAGAAATTTGGGCGTCTGGGTTTTGTCATTACTATTTAAATTTGGTTAAGGTTATTTCTCTTAATTTTGATCTGGATGTCTTACAGATTCAAACACTCTAATTTTTGATATATGATACATTATAGAATCCAGCTTTCTTTTGATTTTATGTAGAGAAAATAATTTTATCATACATTACCTCGACAATAAATTCGCTGTTTACTTCCAGCACCACCTGTCATGGAAGGCACAGTATTAGCAAACATTTTCATATTTAGTGTTATAAAAGCATTGGTAGTATTTTTCAATCCCTTATTTCTTAAATATATATTTAATTACTAATACAGAATAAACTTGAGTAATAGAAAATGGATAAGACTTTCCAATTCAGAAGGTATTTAAACTTTTAGGGAAGATGAAAGAATAACTCTTCAGCAAGACATGATAAGATACCTGCTTCAATGGAGGCACCCATGGGCTCAAAGGAAGGGTAAAATAGGCAACTGAAGGTATCAAAACAAATTTGAGGGGGGCTTCATAGGGAAGTGCGGTTCTGAAGAGAATTGCAGGATGAAGCTGTTTGGATAAGAGGAATTAATAAGGAAGAATATTTTAGCTAGAGTAAAACCAGAACACATGGAAAGGTACAAAGTTTCAGGGGATGTTATAGAAATGGTAAATATTAGGAGGAAGGTAGAGGTGTCATGGAATGAAGTTTGGAATGTCAGTTTGAAGGAAGATCAGGAAGTGCTTAATGCAAGTAGCTTGGCTTTAACTGGCTTTAACTGGGTAGAGGCTGGGCGTGACAAAAACATTGTCTTTAAAATACTGATATAAGGGAAGATTACAAAAGAATGCCCTCAAGACACTTAGGAATTACCAATGGATTAGGTAAGATATAGTTAGAACAGGATCCTCAGTGCTGCGATGGCACTGGAGAGAGAAGGAGATATCACCCCAACACTGATAGGGCTTATAGACTGAGGGATTTGAGGGGAGGAAAAGTCAGATGATTCTAGTGACTTTAGTTTAACTTTCTGGGAGAAGAGAAATACTATTAACAGAAATGGAAACTCAGCAGGAGACTATCACTGCAGGAAGGTGATAGTTTAAGTTTGTTCCATTTATTTTCAAGGCACTTCTAATATCAGAGATAGATACAAAACCTGAAAACATGAAAGTTTTCCAAACAGCCTTGTTTGAAGTTGAAAGAAATGAGGACACAAAATCAAACAGTTTAAGAAGATAAATGGAGTGAACAGAGAATAGAGTCTTGTGGGAAATGCTTACTCTCTGGCAAGGAACTGCAGGAAGAAGTCTGAAGGCAGAGGGCTTTGATTGAGGACAAGAGACCCTGGGTGGGCCAAGAGCAGGTTCTTAGTGTAAGAATATTGAGAAATGTGGAGGATTGGTATAGATTCAGGGTTTAGAAAGGAGAAGAGATTGGATCAGGAGGCAGAAAGAATGCAGTGCTAAGAAGTCAGACAAACAAGGGCTATTTAATGGTTTATGTGCTGTAGCAAAGTCAAGGAGAATGGGAACTGACAGCCCTGGGATTTTAAAGCAGGCAGTCATCGCTCACTTTTGCAAGTGGCATACATCACATTGCAGGAATCAAGAAATTAGTGAGGAGGAAAGTAGAAATAGCGATCATAGATTATATTTTGAACAAGTTAGCATGAAAAAGAAATATGAGGTTTGATGCACTTCAAGGTCTCATTAAATCCAGGAGTAATTTTTTAGTTTGGAAAACCATGACCAAATATATAATCTGTAGGGATAGGAGAAAGGGTTTATGGGAAAAGAATGGTAGAATGAGAAGAGAGAAAGGGAGAGGAGGAGGAAGAGAAGAGGAGGGAGAGGAGGAGGAGGAAAAGAAGTAGTAGATACAGTTGTGATAAGAGAGAGTAGGAATTTTTGTTAAACTAAAAGTACAGGTAAACGATAATAACGAGAAAGAATATTTCCTCCTACATTATTCTATGGTTGGTGAAGATTTGTGGTGAAGCTGAGATGAGGAAGTAAGAATAGAATGCTTATTTCTTCTGTTTGTTGACTTCTCTGTAGAACTTGGTAAACTGAGAGTAAGGAGAGGAGGACACAAGGACTGTCCCGGGGTTGGGGGATGGTGATGGAGGCCGAGTGGAGAGTTAGGGAGGAGATGAGGTACTACTGTGAACTCCAGCCAGTTGGGGAGCAGAGTGAACCTGGGGAGCTCTCGTGAACTGAGGCTGGAGACTGGACAGGTGGAGTGGGCCAGAGCAGATTCTGCAGTGGGGGTGGTTGTAAGAGGGAGCAGAGGGAGGGTATGGGCAGGATTTGTCATGGCAAAAGGTAAGTCCAGAAGGGACCAACAGAGATGAGAAATTTGTTGGTAAGAATTGAGTCTCTTCTTAACTCACTTTCTCATATAAAAATTTACTAGATATGAGTAAAATATCTAGACCCAGGAATGAATATCAATATTTATTAGAATATCATATTATTCAGTTGCATAGAATGTGCTATTTTATTTAATTATTTTGGGGATTAAATTTTTGATGTTAGAAAAGCAGATAATTCTGGAAGGTACAAGAAAAAAATCAAACAGGATCTCATGAACAGGAGATTGGCAATTTTTTGTCACATTTATTCTTTGTAAACCCATACTTCCACAAACTATGTATATATATATATATATATATATATATATATATATATATATTGGTCTGGGGATTGAATGCAGAGTTGCTTTACCACTGAGTCACATCCTCAGCCCTTTTATCTTTTTTTGAGACAGGGTCTCATTAAGTTTCTTTAGGGGCTTGCTAATTGCTGAGGCTGGCCTCAAACTTGCGATCCTTCTACCTCAGCCTCCTGAGTCACTGGGATTACAGGCCTGTGCCACCATGCCCAGCTAATTTTTTTTTAATCAAAAAGAAACCATGTATATTGAATTTTTTAATTTGCCTTTGCACTCAATGGCTAACATGGTAAGTTCTGTGTCCATGCATACATATAGACTTATGTTTCAGTGTTGCCTTATGTATCATTTAGTAGTAGCTCTCTTTCATTCTGGTCACTGAGACATTAGGGTAACTGAGAACCAGTAACTTGAGCAGTTCATGCTGCACACTAGACTCTGACATGCAGTTCTCAGGCACCTCCTTCAGAGGAAGGTGAACTGGAAGCCCTGCTTTGGTGAATGCCAGGTTGGTGAGCTCAGAGCACGTGAGCCCTTTATGAACAAGAGTCTCCCTGTCTTCATCTTTGGCTCCACAATAGTTTCTGTTTTCTCCCTCTTCTTCTCCACTGCTCTCTTTCTTTCTCCTCTTTTATATTCTCTTCCAGTTGTTCCCTTCTTCCTTCCTGATCCTGTCTCTGACCTGATGGAACTACAGTAACATCATTATGTCGTTTTCCTCACCCACCCTGGCATGGGCAAGCTGAGCTGCAGAACTTCAGAGCTAATAATCTAATATTAAACAGTGAGAGTGAGTCGTCGCTGGGTTCTGCTCTTAATTCAATTAGAGATGTGGAAGGTAATTTTCACTCTGTGGTGGAACACATTCTCTCTGTTGTTTCTACCTATTTACAATAAGCTACAGGTTAATACTGTATCCATGAAGTATTAAAACAGCAACTGAGAGTGGGCCCAAGTCCCCATCCTACTCATTATTGTATTTTTTAACACCTAAAACTTTTTTTTTGAATTACCCAATATTACCTTACCAAACTGTTCTGATTTTGTTTGGATATTTGTGTCATATAATTATGTCCCTGGCTCTGAATAAATATTGATGTTTATGTTGACTGATACTGATATTATCTTTGCAAAGACTTCCAAAATTTTGCTCATAAAACCTTAAGACATCCTGAAATGCATTAAAGAAGTGAACAAATGATGTGAACAGACGCTTCTCAAGAAAATGAAATACAAATAGCTAATAATTATATTTTGAAATGTTCAACTTAGCCACTCAGGAAATGCAAAATCAAAACAACCTTGAAATTTCACCCCACCATCAGTGTGGCTATTATAAAAATAAATAAGTAAATAAATAAATAACTGATGTTGGTGAAGATGTGGGGAAAAAAGAATCCTATACATTGTTGGTGGGAATACAATACTAGCATAACCACTATGGAAAACAGTATGAAAATTCCTCAGAAAACTAAAAATAGACATACCATATGATCTAGCCATACCACTCCTGGGTGGATACCCAAAGGAAGTGAAGTCAGCATACAAAATAGATACCTGCATAACTATTTTTATTATGGCATTTTCATAACAGATGAATGGAAAAGAAAATGTAGTACCTATGCACAATGGAATATTATTCAGCCATAAATAAAAATGAAATCATGTCATTTACAGGAAAAAGAATGGAACTGAAGGTCATTGTGTTAAGTGAAATAAACCAGACACAGAAAGACAAGTATCACATGTTTTCTTTAACATGTGAAAAAAGAAAGAGAGAAAGAAAAGAAGATGGCTTGAAAGAAGAAGAGGAAGGAAAGGCAGGTGGGGAGGGAGAGTGGAGAATACAATCAAAGAATAATAACTGTGTGTGACGGAAATGTCACAGTGAAACCCATTAACTTGCATAATTAATGTGAGTTAAGAGTTATAGTAATAAAAACCGAATAAAGAAATTATTCTCACTTTCCCCCCAAAATAGAGCAACAATTTTTTTTTTTTGGAAAGAAGATGTGCTTCTTTAGATTTTTCTATAATGATAGCTAAATCTTGTCTTTTGATGCCCAGTATCATCCATTTGGATAAAAAAAGTTACTAAGTTCTTTAACAGTCAGCATTTATTTTACTCCTATTTTTCCTTGAACTCTTATATCTTATTTCTATTGATGACCCAAAGGACTAGATTAGCCTTACAATCATATTGAACAGCACAATTGAGCAACCAATATGCAAATATGAAAGTTTTGATACAATATAATTAAATACAAAAATAAAACTTGATTGGAAATGTATCACAGAGATGAATGGAGTTTTAAAGAAACAATGGATAAGTAAGTGATACTAATTATTAGAATTAAACAAGTTTCAGCATCAATTCCAGTTGTTTTTGTCTTTTACTTGTAAATACAGTTCTTAGAGAACTTTAATAGATAAATGATATTGGAGGACTTTTTCTTATAAATTCTTTAAACTTATTCTGAATGACATGACCTAAAGTTACAGAGTAATCTATCCTTAAAAGTTATTTTTAAATGTTACCTCTAGTCAGCTGA